GCCAGGGAATCCTGATGTTACACAGGAAAGTTGGATCAAGTGAATTGAGGCTGGGCCCTAGAAGGTACTTTGATTTGTTAGGATTGGCAACTTACCTTCTTGCACTGACACGCAGCCTCGTCAGTTGTGAGAAAAAAGTAATGAAATGACCTCTCAGGGCTACCCTGTCTGTACAGTATGCTTCCCAATGTTTCCTCTGCATCCCAGTAGGAAGCAGTTTAAAACATCGCTGGGCAGAGGGTATGTGATTTACAGGTTTGATTACTGGCACTTAGGATTGCAGAATGCCTTTGGCTTCCAGTTCTTGGTAGCGCAGGTGAGCATCCCATCCAGCTGTTAGCACGATCAGAAATGATTCTTGATTGAAGTGGCTAATAATTGTAGACCTTAAGAAGAAGTACCTTCATAGATTTTATTGTACACTCTGTTATTTGACCTTCTTAGAGTCTGGAGACTCATCTCAAGATTGCTGATGATTTTGAAAGTTTTCTTTGTGTTCCTTCTTGGTTTAACTTTCAGTTCTTGTGATGTTCTTTCCTCACCCTGACAGAATATCCTTCAACAAGTAGATACTGGCAGTGTTCAGTCCTGGGCTGAACCCTAGCTGTTCATCAGACTAGTGCTGGTCAATCTACGAAACATAACAAAAACATGTCTTTTAAGGCAGTCAATCCACTAAGTATTTGTGTAACGGTATCCTAATTATACGCTCCTATGCTTCAGTATGCCCTTATGTGCTTATAGCTCCTCTAAGCAAAGCAAGCTAGGATATTAGAATGCTTGAATTCTTTTAGCAGAAACTAAGTTCATGAATACCAGGAAAGAGAAAATTGAATGCTGTTGTGCAGATAGTGCTATGTACAAACTGTTTTATGTAGATAATAATTTTAAAACCTTGTGTAAATCCCAAACTTTTGGGGAGATGCAAGTGTTCTACTGCTGAAACTTCCTATTCTGCCTTTTTTAGAGGAATGTATGTACATAGTTGATCGTAAACCACAGGAAAAAGTAAATGTGTATATCATAATTTATTTGTAGTTCAGTGGTTATGTTTGGTATTTATTGCAGAATAATACTATGTAATCTTGTATATGTATCAACTTCAAAAATTCTAATTGCTCTACATGGAGCTATCTTTGGCACTTAAAAGTTTCACTTAAGTGAAAAGCTGTGAGCCAAATTCATCAAACTACATGAAAATAAAATGTTTTGAAGAAAAGATCTTATTTGTATGTACCAGTAACGTCCATTAATCTTCAAAAAAATAATGTTTGTAACTGGCATATCAATCCCAGCCTTGCAGTTGAATTTTTGTTTTCATGAAGTACACAAGAGAAACTTGCAATACAGTGAGAGTTGTACTTGACTCAACAAAGGAAAGAAGAAAATTCCTAAGTTTAAAAGCACCTTCAAACAGGGCAGGAAGGAAGAGCCAGCAGACTGCAATCCAGTCAGCCTCATCTCCACAAGAAGGTGATGGCACAACTGCTCCTGGAAATCACTTCTGAGCATTAGGACAAGAAAGTGATCAGGAGTAGTCAGCAGGGATTCCCCAAGAGAAAGTCATGCTTTACCAAGCTGATAGCCTTCTACAGCGAATTCATTGGCTTGGTAGACAAGGGAAGAGCAGCGAATATCTGCCTTCAGTTGATTTATGGGCTGGAGGAGCAGACGGTGAGGTGGGTAAGACCTGACTGTGAATGGTCAAACTCAGAGGACAATAATTAATGGTGTGAAGTCCAGTAGCAAGCGTTGCGCCCCAGGTACAGTTAAACAGAGTACTGTTCAACATTTTCAGTAGTGGTCTGGATGCTGGTCTGAGCACACCCTCAGCAAGTTTGCAGAGACCGCAAATGGGAGGGGTGGCTGACGTGTGAGATATTTGTGCTGCCATCCAGAGGGACCTTGACAGGCTATAGAAAGGGCCTTTCACAGGAACCTCATGCGGTTCACCAAGGGGAAGTGCAAATCCCTGCACCTGGGGAGAAACAACTAATGTGTTGGGGCCACACAGCTGGAAATCGGCTTTGCAAAAAAAGACATGGGGATCTTGGTGGGCACCGAGTCAGTCATTTCTAGCAAAGAAGGCTAACTGTGGCCTGTGCTGTGTTGGCAGGTGTGTTGCTAGCTGGTCAAGGGAGATGGTCCTTCCCTTCTGCTCAGCAATGGGGAGGCAACACCTGGAGCACTGTGACCAGTTCTAGGTCCCCCCAGTGCAAGAGAGACATGGGCATACTGGAGTGAGTAGTGAAAGGCCTCAGAGTTGATTAGGGATCTGGAACACCTCTCCGATGAGGAAAGGCTGAGAGAGTCAGGACAGTTCAGCCTCAATAAAAGGCTAAAATATCTAAAGGGGGGTGTAAGAAGATAGAGCCAGGCTCTTTTCAGTGGTGCCCAGTGCCAGGATGAGAGGCAGTGGGCACAAACTGGAAGTCAAGAGAGGTTCTTTCTGTCTAAACACCAGGAAGCCCTTCTTTATTATGTGGTGATGGAGCACTGGCACAGGTTGCCCACAGAGTTTGTGGAGTCTCCCTCTTTGGAGATCTTCAGTAGCCACTTGGATGTGGTTTGAAACAGATGACCTCCAGAGGTCCCCTGCAATTATCAGCCCTTCTGTAATTCTGTAATGGACTGCCCTGTAATTACAGCTCTGTGATTTTTTATTATTTGTGGTGTTTGTCTTCCAGATTTAGTGGTTCTTGTAGTTCTTAAAAGTCAGGGGAATCACTGAAGACAGTTTTACTTTATGAATTGTGTAAACAGTAAGTACGGTGAATAGGTTAGGAATTAGTTTTTTCCGGTACTGTGAGCAGCCTTAAGAGACGTGTATCATTTTAAAGGAGTAATATAATCCAAGACAGCAATTTTAAATCAATCCAAAGTGCAGTGACCTTTAGTGAGAGTTGTCTGGGAGGAAGCACTTTCCTTTGTGCCACTGTCTAGGAGGAGCCAACTAAGCAGCAAACGCTAGAGCCTGGATGATCTAGCAGAGTCACTTAGCTTTTTCAGGGTGAAGCTTTGTGTAGGTATTCCCAGATGCTACTAATTGTGGGTGGAGTAATTGTGGTTACTGATTCCGGTGGGACAACTGAAAGCTACTTCTTGGTTATCTCTACAAGCCCACTGGTCCAAACTGTCTGATTTGATTTCTGACCAACAGAGTGCCAGTGTGAGATAACTGTGTCTGCAAAAAATGCTCGTACGCAGTGACACACTGTATAAAATATAATCAAATATAACAGTGACATACAAAGGAAGAAAAACCCAGTGGTCTTCCAAGTGGAACATGCTGCAAATTGCCATGGGCATTTGAATCTCCAGAGATATTCTGCCCTGAGCACTGAGCAAGTGCAGCAGTGTAGTGATGAGCCTGTTATCTGTAGCCTGGTGCCTGTTGGCATGGCCAGCAGAGCCTGAGCTAACAGTCAGGAAAACCACCAGGGAAGATCATGAAGTGCAGGTCAGGAACAAGGTCATGATAGCAATGGTGTTTGAGGTTTGCCTCTGATTTCTTTGTCTCTTCTGTACTTTGAAGGACTGAGCTCTCTTGGCTGTCAAGTCTGTGTTTTGCACAATGTTGCATTTCCTTATCGCAGCCAAATTGTTCACAGGAGAATATTGGTTAGATACAGAAAACCAGCTGACATAGACTAGAGGAAGCAAGACCAAGCTGTGGACAACAGGCTCTCTTGCTTTGTCCGCTTTAATCAGTGCATTCGCTCTCAACTTCTGTTGGCATTTTATCCAAGGATTATGTCAGATGCTTGCCTTTTGCTGTGCTTCTTTGACAGTGGTCATTCAGGCTACGTTCTACTGAAAATTCAGAAGCGGTTTCTTGAGTGCAAGTACCCTGCTCGAGACTCTTCACAATTTTCAGAGATACAGTGCTCCTATTTACATCAAATGAAATTGTGAATGCCTAATCTGTGTGAAAACTAGGGCAGGTTATATTCATGTAAATACCCAAATTTCAAGTCAGCCTGGTTTAGATTTTTAATCGATTTTTTCCTCAAGATTACTGTACCTAAAAGAAATAATAATAACAGGTGATGAAGTTGCTTCCTATGCCAAGAATGTCAGTGAGACCATTAAGCGAAATCAATATGAGAATTTTTGAGCACTTGATTAATTGATGGGAAGGTTATGCGAGACTGCTTGCCAGTGTGTGAGGTGCGGCTTTGCAGAGGCAGTTGGATAGGCTAGATCAGTGGGCTGAGTCCAATTGCGTGATATTCAGCAAGGTTAAATGCAGGATCCTGCTCTTGGGGCGTAACAACCCGATGCAGTAGTATAGCAACTGGGAAACTTGCCCAGCTGAAAAGGAGCAGGGGTGCTGTTTGACAGCTGGCTGAATGTGAGCTAGCAATGTGCCCAGGTGGCCCAGAAGGCGAATGGCATCCTGGTCTCTGTCAGAAATAATGTGGCTAAGACTAGGGAAGTGATTGTTCCCTTGTATGTGGCACTGGTGAGACTGCACCTCAAATACTGTGTTCAGTTTTGGGTCCCCATGAAGGCTACTGAGTTGCTTGAGTGTGGAAAAGAGCAATAAAGCTGGTGAAGGGAATGGAAAACACGGCTTATGAGGAGCAGCTTGGGAAAGTGGGGTTGTTTCTTTTGGAGAAGAGGAGGCTCAGGGGAGACATCATTGCCCTCTACAACTACCTGAAAGGAAGCTGTATTGAGGTGAGTGTCAGTTTCTCTTCTCAGGTGACAAGTGTTAGGACTAGAGGAAATGGCCTCAAGATGTGTCAAGGGAGGTTCAGGTTGAAGAAACTCTTCCTAACATTCATGGAGAGGATGGTGAAGCATTGTAGCTGGAGGTATTTAAGAGATGTGTGGATGTGGCATGAAGGGACAAGGTTTAGTGATGGCACTTGATAGGTCAGGTTGATGATCTTGAAGGTCTTTTCCAACATAGATGATTATGATTCTGTGATTCTGTCTAGAGAAGGACAGGAATTACACAGAGGTGTGCTTTCTTAATAATGAATGGGTCCAACTAATGTTTTCATGTAGAATTTAATGTAGAGTTTCCATTCTGCCTTGGCACCCTACTATTACGTGAAGCTTTGCAAAGCAAATGCAGATGCAAATCAGCATGACTTCTTTTACTTCTGATAATGATCACAGCTCGCTCCCCCTTTAGCACAGGCTGGGAATATCCTTCATGTCACGCATCGTGATCGCGCTGTGCCAGAACAGAACAGATTCCAAGGCTGGGTGATTGCCTGCTGTTGACACTTGCTGGCTTCCTATTTGCAAATGCATCTTTTGGTGCTCTCTTTTGGCAGAATGAGAGTTCTCGTCGTCCCTGCATGGACTACAAAACACTTGGATCACTTCTTCGTGTGACATGAATAAAATACCTGTTTGAGGGGGAAACACATGGAAAAGGGGGAAGAAAGTGCACAAAAACTTTGTTTACTCCCTTTGTACGCTTAATAAGGTTGTAGCTGAGGGTTTTTTTTGTTTGTTTGTTTGTTTGGACCAGGCAGTAAGCCCATGGCAATATGCCCTTTAATGATACCCTTCAATATCTACAACAAAGGTTTTCATGGACAAATCAATGGCATTTTTGCAATGTATTTTCATAATCTTTCTCTACTATTTGTATTATCTACAAAACAAGGTACATTTATGGCTAATAATTCGAAGTGGCTTTGATTAGGCAGGATTTGCATTTAGAAAGGTTAACAAAAGTTAACAAATTTAATACCGTTTTAGCAGAAAGATCAGAAGCTGAGGTGTCTTTTCAGTTTATCAGTGTTCCCTGTAGTTTGTTGCTCCTATCAGGTGCCTGAAGCCATGAGAAGTTTGATGCTGAAATTTGCAGGAGTTCAAGCAACCAACTTTGGATATATAGAACAGCCAGAGAGTTTTTGTAGATTTGTGTTTAAAAGTGTGTTGTGAATATAAAATGAAGGATCAGAATGTATCAAAGCTGTGTATTTTTTAAGGCCATAGTGCTTTTGCAGTAAGTAAAGAAATGTGGTTGTTTAACTTGCAGCATAAGGCTGTATTTTCCAAATGACTGAGGCTAAAGGTAGGTTGAACTTTCAGACTTCTGGCAGATAGCATTGAGCATGTGTTTATTTCCTTGTATAAAGAGGTATACTGTGCTGGATATTTACTGGGCTATGTATGCCTGGCTGTGAGGTAGTGGTTGGCTTCCCTTCCTGCATCCCTATTAACAGCTTTTGTTATTTGAACGAATCTGCTTTTTGCTTCAGTCCTCCATTATCCTTGTAAGAGATCTTCACTACCAATCTGGAGGTAGGGCAGATTAATTGTTGCCTTGCTCTAATTGTAGTTTCAAGGCGGTTTAATTGTATCTCACGAGGATGTTAGTTCTCGCTTCTGATGTTCAGGATTTTCAGTGCCCTGTTGGAGAACTCACCAGTCCTCTTGCTGTACTTCAGTGATCCTGTTGCAATGAACTGAGCTCTGCAATACCTGCCTGTTAACTGCCTCCCTGGTTATTTTTTAATGGAAGCACATCTGAGCCTGCAGGTTTCAGCCCTAGTTCTCGTAACAAGTAGTGCTTCTCTTGATATCTCTTACTGCCCTGTTATTTAGGCCTGTCACAGGAACTTAACCTTCCACCATGTTTTAGCAAATCCTTTTCCCCATCCTTTCCCTCTTTTTGCCCCTACAGTTTACTGTTCTGTACTTACATGCCTCTTATTTAAAAAATAACAAGCAAAAATTGAGCTATCTGTTCCTTGGGAAGAATGGGCCCTCTCTTCTTACTTCTACCCACAGCACGAGTAGCGTGCTTCCTTTGTGATTTCTCTGAACAGTGGTTTGTGCTAGTATATATGTGTTGCACTGGGAAATGTTGCTGCTTCGTAAATGTAGCAGAACTTCATAAAAAAGAATTCTTTTATTGCTTGAAGTTCCTTTACACTCTTTTACTTTCTACTTCCCTTGATATGTACAGCAACGTGCAAGAATTGCTGCTGTAAAATTTGTGGAAATTTCCTTCATTGCGACTGGAAGTATCTAGACAAGATCCCTCTGATAGACAAAAAAGAAATTAAACTTCACTTTGCAGCTGGCCATTATGTTGCAGCAATAGCATTGCTGTCATCTGGGTGCCTAGGGTATGTCTCGACGGACTTCTTCTCTATAAAGATTTTAAATAAATATGACAGGAGCCCAATACCCTTCTGTCAATTTTAATGTCATAGCAGCAAGAATTCAGAGCGAGTATACACAAGAGGTCTGTCTTCTCTTCTGAACATGCAGGTTCATAATAGGAATGCCACACTGGTTAATACAAAATTTTGCCATAAAGATAGAGGATGAAAATTAGAAAATGGTTTGGCCTTTTGATAAATTAAAGGTGTTCTCTTTACAGCTGGTCTTTTTGCTTTCTTAGTGGTGATAAAACTCAAAATGAATGGGTAGGTATTTGGTATGAAAAAGCTGCAAACTTTTTTTTGCTGGTTGAAGGTTTATATGTATCAGTTTATAAAACAATCTCAGGAAAGAATGTGAAAGGAGGATTATAAATGAATACAAAAACAAGCAGTACAAAATACAAAAACAAGTGTCCGGAGTTGTTACGGCTTTTTGTTCTTTGGGTTCATAAACATAACTATCATGTTTTGACCAAAAACCTGTAGTACTTCCCCTGACTGTTTTTTTAATCCTCCATCAGAGACTTAATTTTCACTGGACCCCAGCATGTTTCTGGGGGCAGAGTCCTGCCTCACCACTTGATTTGCACCTGCCATATGGAAGGGAATCACTACAAGACCGAGAATATGTGGCCACAGACCACATATTGCAGAGGTTTTGAGCTATTTCTAAGATCACATGAATTCAGAAGAGTTTACCTGAATCAGGCAGTGCATCATCTTATGCTCCAGACTGCAGCAAAATTTGGTTGCTACAAATTCCCAATCTTCTTATTTACATGTGAAGTGATTGTGCTGTAAGTTAGAGGTGTGTTTTAGGAAAGCAGCAGGTTTGGAGCAGTGTTACCCGTAGTCCTCACTCCTCTGAAAATAAACGATTTGATGATTAACTTGCCATTGTGCACAGTTAATGTGTTACCATTAAAAACAAACAGAAAGCTATTGATTTGAGAGCTAGTCTTTGGGAGCTAAGAGACAGAGGCAGCTAGAGGTTGAGGGAATAGAGGATGGGATCATTGCCTTCCTTGTACCCTCTACCAAAAAGTACCATTAAAAATTTCCTCTTGGTTCCTGCTCCTGCAGATGTTGAGCTCCCTCTAACCACTTGCTTTTGTAGTTAAATCTAAACGGAGCTGTTTTGTACTGAATTCTTAAAATAGTCAGCATTATGCAGTAATGCTGTAAGTCCCAGCAGCCTGGAGAGTCTTAGTAGTGGGAAGGGACGTAAGGAAATGTTATAGAAGCATGAACTGAAAAACAAACAAAAGGATATATATTTTTTTTTTCAATTGAAATGTCTCATATTTACAAAATATTTCTTCAAAATGTGAACATTGGAAAGAATAAGCCATCAGTCACACTACTTTATGAACTGTCCTGCACTATAGTGTTACAAATGCGCACACCTGGCTGTGTGTGTGTGATGGAAGGTGCATTTACTGCAGTAATTGCTATTTCCATTTTTTTTAATTGTTTGAAAATCTCATTCTGGCATCATATCCATTAATTTTCAGTGATTTACTGGGATTCCATTGCTCTGTTGACATCTGCAGAGTAAAAATGACCTACCGAATTGGTAGAGTTCTCCACCTTTAGATGTTGATGGATTTCTAGAAAAGCTATGTCCTATCTCAATAGGAAATTATTAATTAAAATGTTTGTATGTCCAGGTACACACAGGATGATAGAAATGGCTCTTTGAAGTGTACAGGAGAATCAAGGGTTCTTCTGATTATTTTTTTTTTTTCTAATTTAACTTAGATTGATGCTTAGGTGCAATTTATTTTTAAAATAAATGTGCTTTACTTATGTCTGTTGTCCCTGATTTCAAAGGTAAGGAAGTTGATAACATATTAAGTCAACTCCCGTTATTATGTTGTCTCTTTTAATAATATCCAGACAGTAGCCAGAGGTACTACCACTATGCAGATGTTTTGGAGAAGCCGTGTTCTTGCTGAGGACACCCCATAGCTACAATTACAGAAACATAACTTCAGACAGCGCTCTAGCAAGAAATGCGCCACCAGGTAGTGGATACGATAAAATGAGTCATTTTTACAGTCTTTTTATTTCTGTTGTCATCTGCATGGAAACGACCAGTGTAAAATACTATTGCAAACGACTGGTATGAAGTACCAACAGTATTACTGCTGTTTAATGAATTTAAATTCAGCTGAGACTCTAGATGCTTGTTTTAATTCCTCAGACCGATCTGTTTGTCCTCTAAAAGCAAAGCGAAGAAGCAGAGCTATGTACATGTCACAGAGAAAGGTGCAATCTAAACATGTTCTACTAAGTGTTTGATAATGAATGGTAGAAACCAATGTAGCCAAGCGGTTAGCTGCCCTCTTGCAGGTGCTATAACACTTGATTAAGGAACAGAAGCTCTGTAGCTGATATTAATACATGCCATTCAAACAAATGTACCAGGATGTGACAGATCTAACAGACCGAACTAGAAAATTAGCAGTTGTTTTTGTTAAATTAACAGAAAAATCGCTAGAGGTATTGACATTCAGGGGTTTTTAGTTGCTTGAAGACTCCTACATCCCATTTAAATGAATGTGTACTATTACAGAACTGTATTCAGATTTAACAGCACATTGATCCGTTATCCATTTGAATTGCCACAGATTTTATTATCACTTAAAAATCTGGACATTTGTTTCACAGCGAGTGAAAGTTTAACATCCAAGAACTCCTCTTGAAATCCTCAGACTGTAATGCTTTAAATCCCATTGCTATTGATTTCTTCAGGGTCATTTTGTGTGTGTTTCCTCAGTATGAAGTTCCAGTCCCATTGACATTAGTGGAAGTTCTGCAGTTGATTTTAGTAATATCAAATGTTGACCTTCTGGATTAAACCCTTAAGATAAATAAGAACGGAAGAAACCATCTGTTCTGACTGTTCAGGTGGCTGGATGCTTCTAGATGAAAAAGGAAGATTCTGGCTGTCCTAGCACCACAGATCAGCAGCATGGGGGTAGCAATGGTAGCAGAGGAATTAAGTGGTTGCTTCCTGGCAGGTCAGTGGAGGTTGTTTTCTCTGTGGAGAAATTCAGTTTCTCAAAGTTCACTTAAACAAATAGCATATAGCAATTAAATAGCAAATAAATTAAATATATTCGTTTAAATAGCATATTAAACAAATTGCATATTTTTTTAAGTGAACTTTGAGAAACTGAATCTCTTTTTTGAGAGCTTTGTTCTGTGCCTTCTGTCGTATTAAAAACCTAGCTGGGCTAAGTTCATTAGTGACTAGTTTTTTTTTTTGTTGCTTGCTTTTTACTATTAGAAATAAGCTGTTAAATTGAAAACATTTTTTAAACTCTGTCTTCTGTTGCTTCTTTATGAGCTCTAAATACAAGAATACAGAAAGCATGATTCCTTTGCTTCCTGCATCTGAATTAAGAGGATGTTTTTGTTCTAAGATTTGCTGGTCTCATTCCTATGACAAGATTCATTCCTCTTGAAATTGCACTTGCCACTGGATGGTAAGGAGGATTGTGTCAACAATGTTGGAAAGGTTTGAACTAAAGCATGTTCCTGGCCAGGCGACTTGCACAATCTTCAGCCTGGGATCTTACAGTGCAAGACATAACCTTCCAAAGCACCCTTGGTTGTGCTTGGAGCCTTCCCAGGTGTGGCATTTTGAAATGGGCAAGAATTTTGTCATGATCTCTTCTGCTGCAGGGGGAGCTGTGAATATCCACAGGAGTAACAAAAAAGCTGATTTTTGTCTGTGTTGGCACTGGAGAGACTCATGCAACAGTAAAGCGCTACTGCAGCACGGAAACTGCGCCGCATGTGTAGTGCACAATTGGGTTAAGGAGGCTTCTTGTAATAGTGCTGTGGATGTGGGAGATGGTGTAGTATTTACATACATGAATATGCATACGTGTCTCTCTGTGTCTAGAGTGTCGTTTGGAGTAATAAGGAAAGATAATGCAATTGTTGAAAGCGATAGAGTGAAATGTGCACGTCTGCTGCATTAGTTAATGGCTTGAGGCGTGTGAAGGCGAGGGTGAGGTATGGCTTCTAACAGCTGTGATTGGGACGTTCTGGGCCACTGCTGCGTGTCTCTGCGATGAACAAATTCACCAGGACAGGAGTGAGAAGCCTTCAGCCTTCTTATTAGCTTCTAACTTCTGCATCCCCTTCGTCGCACTCACATCACGTATTCCTAGTGCAGTGTCAATGGCATTTTTCAAATTCTACTCCATCTTCCATCTGCTACAGATGTTGGAGGACCTGCAACAGTGCTGCAACTGAATAATGTATCTCTGATGCTGAGATGATGTAGTGCAGGCCCATAGTTGTCATATTCTCATTGTGAAAGCGTGTTACCATCATGGGAACAGATTCTGAAATGCACTTAACTGTGTGACTAGAGTGAAAAACTTGGTCCTCTCTTCCCTTAGCACCATGGGTCTTCGCTGGCCATCCATTTCACAAATGCTTGAAGTCTGCCCTTCTTAATTCCTTATTTTAGAGTTTCCTTTGAGTTATCAGCATTTAATTATTACTTGCTTTATGTCAGTTTTCGTAGCTCTCATTTTTCTTTTTAAGGGGCTACAAATGCTATGTGGGCTAATGCTGCAGTTAGACGAGGTTGAACCCTGAAATACAAACCAACTGTGGACTGTTTCTAAATCCTCTGAGCCTATAGAAAAGGTGAAATACTTAAGTCTTTGTTCTGTGATCGGAAGAAGGCAAGAAAGAAATTTATTCTCTTTATAGCTTGAACAACAATGTAGATGAGAGATTGTGGATAGCGATCTCTCTTTCTCAAATAATTCTCTCCATGGCTAAAACATGCACTAAAACCAAAGATGAATGAGATTGATCTGGTGAGATTAATCAGGCCATATGCTGTGGCAAGTTGATGGTGATTGTAAGAACAATGAATGTCAATCAGTTGCTATCAAATGTAATGGCCAGTGATTTACCATCTCATTAAAAGATCAGGACACACAATTTGCTTGTGTATGAATAGCCAAGCAGATAGTCATTACAATGTCCTGCTAGGGCTTTAGGCTCTTCCTATGCAGACAAATGCAAGCTTTAAGGAAGAAAAGGGCTGAGCAGAGTGGAACCTAGCTCATGGGATATATTGGGACAGAAACTAAACACGTGGGGACAAGAGAATTGTTCTCGAAAAGTAGGGTGTGGCTGTATGTGCATGTATGTGTATGCCTGAGTATCCATATATATAAATATATATGAGCACACACATATATATATCACACACTTCAGTTCATCAAGAGGAAGCATTGCTTTTACTTGTTTTAGTATCTGCCACAGCACCTGGATTTCTTCAAGGGTGTATACGTACTGTACAGAAAACTCAGAGGTTCAACAGTGCCATCCTGTGGGTGATCTTAAAGGTTTGAAAGTTATGGCAGATAAATAAATGACCTCAACAGGATAAATTAACATGGAATATCAGATACTGTACGTCCCTGCGCAATCAACTAGCATATTTCCCTCTGGTAGTCAGTCAGGCTAATTATTACTTTTCTGTCCAGAAAATTAATAACCTAAATGCATTACAGCCAATTGGAAAGTATTTCAGGCAAGCTGATGAGCAGTGTGCTTGTTAGTCTTTCTCTATTGCTGAGAAATGTGCTTTTAATCATCTCAGTGTGTTTTTAATCATCTCAGAATTTATTTTTGCAGACAATGCCAAAATTAAAAGCAACCACGTAAATTCAAATAAGCACCGCTAGAAAGTAGTATCTGGACATCTTTAAAAAGGAATTAAACTAAGAATAGTTAGCTTTAATGTTTCATAACCAGAATATATGAATTTCCAAGTAACCTTGAAGATTAAGCTGGATGGTTTGAACAACTTGCCAAAATGGTTTTAATTCTAGAAAGCCAAGGGCGAGATTAAAGTCAGAAGTTTTGTTGACTGAAGTTGGATTTCTGACTAGAGTATTTTGAGGACTTTTTGTTCATAGAGCGACTGTTTTGGTAGGCACAAGGTATAAAACTTGCTCTAATTAGGGAACAGTTGGGGGATCAAGGGGTGATTGAACATACTACTTAATGTTTTTCACTTTGCTTGCCTAAGCAACTTGTTTAAGAGAGTGCATGGTGTGTTTACTTGGAAAATGAGCAAAGAAATAGAGGGCAAGCTGGTCAGTAGAAGGTTATTCTCCCTTTTCAAGTCCTTGCTGTTTTGGGGTGTTCAAGGGGCGAGGTGCTGTCTGCATGCTGCCTTTGCCCAGCAGTGTTGGTGCCTCTCCAGTCGGCAGCAGGTCTCTGGCATTGCTCCCTCATGCTCCATAGTCAGGGAGGCCAGCTACAGGTCAGTGCATGCCACTGGGTGGCTTGAGAGAGGCAAGGAAACACAAAAAATTCACCATCGCTTTTTGATAGTTAAAAATTTTGACATCATCTGTGGTTTCTAAGTCTCTGAAAAACATGTCATGGCGTTATTTCATGCGTCTGTTTGCCAGGTCCCTCTAACAGCAGATGATGATGACTGGTAAGAGGACAAATAATTATTTCCCACAAAGAGGAAAAGACAAATATGAGCTACACACGTTTAGAAGATAATGCAATTTAATGTAGTTTTAAAGCAATTACTGGTTTTGTACCTATTTTGAAAAAAAATAAGTAATTCTAGCCTAGCAAAGGACTGGCATGTGTTCAGTTCTATCCTTTTGAAAGCAGGCTAGCCTGTTTAAATATTTCCATACTGGGAGTCCTGAGTCTGTGCTTATACCCTGATCTACTGTACTGAGATGAATTCTGGATGAATCAGATGTATCAGGAAAATAATCTCCTGTGAT